TGTTTTAACATTTTTTTTATTTTTTATTTTTTAAATTTTATTTTGAAAGTATACAACAGAACAAGTCAGAATAAAGCCAACTAAGATTGTACAGTGAAATTGGTACAGAACTTCACAGCAGGTTACCGGGATAACAGTCATAGGTATTACAGTATATTTTGTTATCTTAATAATAGTTGTTCTTTTAATCATATATATCAAAATGAGGTGAAATATAGAACACTATAGAACTTATCAAAACAATATTGAATAGAGCAGTACCATTAATCAGAAAAGAGCAAAACAGTAATAAAAATATTTGCCTTCAAAGAAATGGTAGAAGGAAGTCCCCCTTATTTGCTATGGTCAACCTCCCAGGAGATGCTCGGATTTCTGGTTCCCATTTGCTAATGGGCGGGGGGTGGGGGAGAAGGAGGCTAGGGGAAGTGGGATATTTGACTCTAGGCCATGTAGCAGTAGGTTCACTATTGCTTAGCAGGGAGGCAGGATGGTCATTTGTTTTCACAGCGTCCTCAGTTCCAACATGGTGCAGATCTCAGGAGCTGCTGCTAGTTCTCCCCCTGGAAGGGCTGCTGTCGGCCAGACCACCACTGCTTACCAGTGAGGGGAGGTGCTTGCTTGGCTTCCCAGAGTCCTAAGTTCCAACATGGTGTGGATCTCAGGAGACACTGCTGGTTCTCCCCCTGGAAGGGCTGCAGTCGGCCAGACCACCACCACTTACCAGGGAGGGGAGGTGCTTGCTTGGCTTCCCAGAGTCCTAAGTTCCAACATGGGATGGATCTCAGGAGACACTGTTGGGTCTCCCTTTGGAAGGGCTGCAGTCGGTCAGACCGGGTGTTTTAACATTTGAAGAAATTTGTGACATTGTTTGGACCGCTCACTAAGCATCTCCAAGTGTAACATAATACATTTCATAAATTTTTGTTTAAAAATTATTATTTGACTGGTCACCTCATGTTGGTCTGATCTAAATCTCTAGGCTGGAACACAAGAAAAAGGCAGCTATGTGGATCTGAAAGAAAACACTTGTCATCATAAACAATCCCAATTTTATATTTGAAGGCATGAATATACCATCAGATCAGCAGCAATGAATTGTCTTAGTTATATGAACTTTAGTTGAGATGTCTCCGATAAGGCTATGGAGAATATTGGGGCCTCCAAATAATGAACAAGAACTGGTTGAAGTTACCAGGTGGCCACTTTCTTGTTTATCAATTGAAGTCCTGTCCAATGTCTCACTCCAAAGGATTTTGTTTAACCAATTTTAGCATCATTTTGACTGGCTGGTAACATAGGTGGAAGCATGTTTTTTAAATTTATAACCCAAATAAACCTTGATTAAATGATCTAAAAACGTAAAAAAGGAAGAAGAGATTGTTGAGCTCAAATAAAAAGAAATAGCTGTTTGCAGAGCAGGCAAATGGACAAACACAACAGATTAGAGTGACAGTCATGTTATAAAATCAGAATGTACTCAAATATATTTGGCCAATTTGAACTATCATAAATAGAACTATAATAAATAGACTAGTGTGAACCTTTTTGTAGATCAATTAATAGAGATCTCAAAATAAGAATACCAGAAAAGGAACTTAATTTATGGCTAATCTGAGATAGGTCAGACAGCAAAACAGAACGTGACTATCACCTAATTCAGGTGCCAGGAACAAGGGCCAGCCTGTTGCTGAAGCAGGAGTAGAGACTGAGGCTGAGAAGGCTGTGGCCACTGAGTGGCCAACTGTGTGTGTGGGCAATTACCCGATGACTGACTATAAAACAGCTGCTCGTCACCATGCAATAAGGAAATGCAGGCTGTTGGTGGGTCACCATGTGACCCACACAGCCTAGCTGCTGCTGGTAGCACACTGAGGGGCGCAAATGGTGGCTGGTCATCATGTGACCCACAGCCGGATAGCTGCTGCTGATCACAGCAGCAGCTGTGGGTGGCCATTGACCCTGAGACCCATTGCAAGATGGTGGCACCCTGCCATGTGGCAGAGGGCTGCAAGATGGTGGCTCTTCTATATGTGAGCAGCAGCAAGATGGCGGCAGACAACCACGTGGCCTGCCAGGAGGCTGGAATGCATGAGACTGGTGGGGAAAATGGCGATGCGGGGGAAGGGGACGAAGAACCCTCAGATGGAACAGATGGTTTGGGTGGGGGGGATTGAGAAGTTGGAGACTGGGGAGAGATGCTAAGGGAAAGATTAGAGGCCGACGTGGGTGAGGAATGGGGAAAGGATGGTGCAGGGGGCAAAGAAACCACTGCCTGAGAAGGCAGGGTTTGCTATGAGAGATACAGGGGAGGAGCCGTAAAGACAGGAGACACATCATCTAAAGGGGTCCAGTGGGCAGAGAGGGAGAGATCCTGGTGGAGCACAGTAAGCCAGAAGTATTTGGGCCATCATAGAAGACAGAGCAAGAGAAAGACATGTCCTTAAAGTGAAAAAGGCCTAAAGATGAAGGGTTTCTGCCAACTTGCCACCATTGTGACAAAAGCATAAATAAAAGATCAGCTTTTTGGTTTTTATAGCCTTTTAGAGGCCAATAGTACCAAGGTTATGAACCAGACATGCCAGAGGTGTGTTTTTTGGGGGACAGGAAGTAGACCCCATGACCGAATTATAAGTGAGCTGAGAGAACTACTGCACTTAGGGAAGTAAGAGCTTTAGCTCCCCCTAAGGAAAGTGGAAGCTGTTCTGGGTCACACTTAACGAAAGAGATCAAAGTGTGATGCGGAAAATCCCAACACCCGTTCTCCTTGGCTGGTCACTGGAAGAGTGCGGGGTGAGGTCTCAGGGAACAAAAATAGCAGTTTTGCCTCAAGCCATATGGCCTAAGGAATGTGAAAACTGGTATCCCTGTTCAGGGACAGCACGGTGGGTTTTCTGTCACAAGCTTGCTAAGGAACAGAAACAGAAAGCCCCAGATGGATGGCAGCTTACCGGTGTGGAGTGAGGAAGGTTGCTGTTACATGCAGATTAGTAGCAGCAAGCAAACAGTCCCAGAGGAAGAAAAAGGTGGATCATAGGCAGGGATTCCCAGGAGCCACTCACTCTGCCATCTGACTTACACAGGCACCATTATGAAAGAGTTTTTGGCGCCATGAGAGAGGGAATATAAAGTAAAAATAGCCTTTATTCCCAGGGTGTGGAGAGAAGTCCATGATGGCCGGGGGCCTGACTTTCTCTGGCCGGAACATATAACCTCTTACTAGGAGTGGCACTTAGGGCGGGCATCGATGAGGCACGAGGAACTTATTGGAATTTTCTTCATGTGCAAACAGGAAGGAGAGTTACAATTAAGGCTGAGGAAGAAGCAGGCAGTGGTAGGTGGTCCTGCTTTGGCCTTCCACCACCGCTGTTCTACTAAGGCAAGAACCTTTCACGCATCACCAAAGAAGCTATAAAAGTAGATAAATATATGTAAAGATTCTTAATATGATTAGTCATTAGAGAACTCCACAATAAAACAAGATAATACCACTTGCCATTATAATGGCTAAAATACTTTTTTTGGTATGGCTTTTTTTTTTAAGACAAGGTCTCACTATGCAGTTTAGACTGGCCTGGAGCTTACTTTGTATCCCAGACTGGTTTTGAATTTGCAACAATCCTCCTGCCTCAGCCTGCCAGGTGCTGGGATTACAAGCATGTGTCACCACGCCCAGCATAGAATACTTTTTAAATAACAGTATTAAGCAAAGTAATTGGAATTATTATATGTTCCTGGTGGAAATACAAAAAGGCATGCTTCTTGTGTCAAAAAGTTTACAGTTACTTATATGGTCTGGCCTTCCCACTTAGGAAGTGAAAGCAAATACACCCACACAAAAAAACCCACATGCAAATGTTTGTGGCTTTATTTATAATTACCCAAATCTGTCAATAACTTGTGTCCATTAAAACCTACACATCAATATGATAAAATAGTACTTTGCAATAAAAAAGGCTGACCTGCTAACCAGAGCACATTGCAGACTCACCCCAATGTGTGATATGATGATGTTTGCACGGCATCCTGTAGTGTACAAACCTGCAGAAACAATGGTAACTGCTGAACTGGGGTACTGACTCATGAGGACTTAGGGGACCTGGGGGTGCAGCCATTCCACTTTTCATTAGGGTGCTGAACACATTTATCAGAGTTCATACAGTAGCATGGTGAAAAAGGGTAAATTTTATTTATGTGAATTGCGCCTTAATAAACTTGGTGTTAGGGAAAGTTAATTCAGGTTATCTTTTCCCACTGGTTTCCTGTCCTAGGAGTCTCTTGCCTTCCCCCTACCCTTTGTCCCTACACTGCCTTCCTGGCCCAGTGGGACACACCTTTGCACTGCTGGTCCCTTTCTGCCCTGTGTCTCACATATGTTCCCCTCTCGTGTCAGAATCTTTCAAACCACTTTGTCTAAAATAGAGTCACCTTGAGACTTCCTCCCTTTGTTTTTCCTGTCTTTGGCATTTTTCACAACACATTTTTTTTCTTTGTGCTTGTATTAAAGAATACAGCACAAATACAGCACAAGTTTTTGTTCCATCACCTAAAACTCTACCTGACATCTACTAGGTGATCAGTAAATATCGTTGAATGAATGTGAATGACTGGAATGCTACCACATGCCTTCTGGATTCCAACCACCACACCCCAGCTACACTTAGCACTCATGCAAGCACATGCCAGTTGAATGTTCTCTTTTCATTTTATTTTATTTTTTGGTGAAACCAGGGATCAAACTCATGACCTTGTGCTTGCCAAGCAGGCGCTTACGGGGTAAGAGAGAGGAGGCTGTCTCTAACCTACTTGAGCTAAATCTCCAGCCCCCAGTTGAATGTTTTCTGTAGGTTCTGCTCTGCCTTCACAACAGTGTCCTTTCCACAAGACCTTTCTTACAGCATTGTACCGCCCTCCCCACACCTGTCCCAGTTCCTCAATTCCAAATGAAGGGCTGCAGAATTGCTCCTAATATCTGTCTTCCCTTCCTCCATTGTCCTTCCCAGCTGGGACGAAGCAGCACCAGTGCGATGCAGAGCTGAGGAAGGAGATCGCCTCTGTGTGGGCCAATCTGCCCCAGAAGACTCTGGACTTACTGGTACCACCTCATAAGCGTAAGTGGAAGGACAAGAAATACCCTCTAATGGTACCTTCCCTTCATTGTCCCCCGACCCAGAGACAAGGGGAGAGGCTGGAGGCAGGCAGAGGTAAAGGGTAGGGATACTAGTCTTGGAGATGTTGGCCCATCCCTACAGGGACCCTGGGTGTCCCAGAGGCTGTGGGTGGTGGTCTGAGGTCCTATTAGTACAGGGAAAGTTTTAAAACATCCAAAGGAATCTGGGAAGGAATTCTAGTTAGGAACTGGAAGAAGTGGAACGTAACTCCAAGGGCTCCTTCTGAAGTAAGGTTGGGCATGTCAGTCCTGCACAGGGATCTTGAGATGAGCCAGAACTGATCTGAGTGCAGTACCTGGATAGGTCATGGGGCCAAGCTGTGGTGGAGCTCCTGGCTCTGCCCAAGAGCCCCTCAACCCAGAGCATCTCCAGATTCCACATGGTGGGGTGAGGGAGAGGAGGCTGTCTCTAACCTACTCCACCCACAGTTTTGGTGGCTTTTCTGCTTTTCCTCCATATCATTACCTCTGAATCCTCTCTCCACCTATTCTTTTTAGCTGATGAGATGACAGTGGGAAAAGTCTATGCAGCCCTGATGATATTTGACTTTTACAAGCAGAACAAAACCACCCGAGATCAGATTCACCAAGCTCCGGGAGGCCTGTCCCAGGTACGGACTCCAGGATTCCCAAGAAGTAACCCACATGCCTTGGAGACCCTGGCAGCCTTCGGAGACCTAAACCACACTTGCAGAGGGTGCATTGGCCAAAGTTCCACCCCATTAACTGGTTGTATGGTGGTGCTGGGGAGCCCATGAGCTAGAGGACTAGTATTTAGGGACAAGAAGAGAGCAAGTCTAAGAACAGAGGCACTGAAGAACACTGCTCTTCAGTGATAGATAGGCGGAAGATGGAGGAAGATAAAAATGTCTCAGGAGGATGTTTGGCAAGTGAAAAGGTCTCTACAGTTAGGTACCATAAAAACACATTGATGGGCTTGGGGTCCTGTTGGCTCTGCTCAGGGCTCAGGAGGTTTGGGGTCTGCCTTCTAGGGGCCATCATAGTCTTGTCTTTAGTTACCACAGGGAGGTTCTATCTAAAGTTCTTGGCCCCCAAAATCCAGTTCTGCTCTTCCAAAAGCTCCAGACAGCAGTCATTCTACATCTGTGCTGAGATGAGACTGTTCTGTCATCTGTAATCTATCCAATCCCAAATGGGAGGGAAACAGGCTCTGAGAATGACTTGCTTTCCTGAAGTCACAGAGCAGGGCCAGAGATACTTAGGGAGCCCTCTGATCTGCCTCACTGTTAAGGTCACATGTTTATATTTGGGGATAGGGTAGAGTGGAAAAAGTGAGGGGCCCCTTGCCACAGGACATTGAACTCTGAACTGTGCTTTGAGGGAAACTGGTGTCTATCACATGTCACGAGTCTGCCAACACCACCTTGCAGGTTCCCCCGGCTTGGCCCCTCTGACCTCTTCTTCTTCCTGTGCCCTTTCACAGATGGGCCCTGTGTCCCTGTTCCATCCTCTGAAGGCTACCCTGGAGCAGACACAGCCGGCTGTGCTCCGAGGAGCTCGGGTTTTCCTTCGGCAGAAGAGTACCACCTCTCTTAGCAATGGTGGGGCTGTGTAAGTGCTGGGTATGGGCAGACCTGGGAGGGTTTTGAGCCATGGGCTGAGAGAGCAGACGCTCTTGCCTTGCCATGATACCCTTTCTTCCCCTGGCCTCTGGTTCAGGCCTTGGGGAAACTGAGGTGGCCTGTCTAGTGCTTTAACAACCTCTTGGGTACAGAGCTCTTTGGCCTGTTTTAGATCCAGGGCTCCACATTGCCCTGTGACCTTCATCACTGGGTACAGCTAAACATCTCTCTTCTTACCTGCTACCTGGAAGTAAGTGGCTTTCCACTTGTCAGATTGTCTGGGTGATCCAGCACTGGGTGCAGATCTGTCTGGTTCCACAGGTTGCCATCCCACAGGTGCTGATGTCTGAGTACCTGTCACTCCTAGGCTCTGCTCTGTTGCTGGCCTCTGGTGCCTGAAGACCTTTTAGAAAGTGTGTGTTTCCACCTCAAACCCATACTCGGTCCTGTTTGTCATCTGTGGGTGTGCTGCTCTTTCTGGTTTCCCTGATGCAGCTTTTGCCAGATCCCCATTTTGGTATTGATTTGTGAGGACTTGTTGCATTGTGTAGACAAATTGTTTAGGTCCTTTTGTATTACTTAACCTGTGTCACAAGATTTCTTGGTAACAAGCTACTCAACACAAAAGGCATAAAACAGTGATCACCCTTTCTTATTCAGGATGGTGGAGGACTTTGGGCAGCCGGGCTCCACAGCCTTCCTAAACAATGGGTTCCTGGCCATGAGGTAGACAAGCCACTCGTCATTGCCTCCAGTAGGCTCCCCCACCTTCTGTGGGTTCTGCGAATGACAGACCCTGTCCAGGCCCCTACTTTTGCCTATAAAGGAGTATATAGCAGCCAGGTCCTGCAGGCTGCAGTGGGTAGGGCAAAAGAACTTGGCCTGTGAAGGCTGCTGGAAAGCTCCACCCCATATCTAGGTGGGCCTGGCCACTCAGAGCCCCATACTCTCCTTTTTATGAGTTGCTTAGTGTCCTATTCTTGTGTTTAGACAGCTGATTCTGAGTAATGCATGTCATTGTGGGAGAACAAGAGTATATCAGAGTATAGGAGTAAAACATGTGGAAACTCTGTGTGTGTGTGTGTGTGTGTGTGTGTGTGTGTGTGTGTGTGTAGGTTTGAGCCAGGCTCTTAGGAGGAAAAGGAGCTTCAGTTACTTCTAACTGCTGCTTGAAGGTGAGAGAACAAACATCTGGTCAGCCTGCTGAGTGAGGACTCTGGGTTCAAGGTCCTGTGACTTCAGAGTGGACCCAAAGATCCTTCTTAAGGGCTGCTTGGCAATGCCCTTGATTCTTCTCACAATCCCTTGAAGGGATGTCTAGCTTTTGTCTCTGGCCCAGTGCTATCATCAGGTTATGGTCAGCTCAGGCCATCAAGCTCTACACTGAGCTCTGTGTATGATTGGCACGACTCTCTCTGCATGGCTGCCTTTACTTAGCAGGAATGAGCTCTTGTGGGCAGAGTCAGATCTACATAGGAAACACTAACTGTGTCAGGGCATTGTAAGAGTCAGGTCAAGGGAGTGTGTGTGTCTAATTCCACCGACACTAGAAGAGCCAAAAGAGCAGAATGGCTGGAGCCAGTGTCTTCAGCTGTATGTGTTGGCAATGTCTCTTGGTCTGCTTTTCACTTTCCCAAGCTTCACTGCCTGGCTTCATCTCTTCCCACCATGGCCTTGTGCAGCAGGACAGTGTTTCACAGATGAGCCCCCATGGAAGGGTGAGGAACTTGCCAGTTGTCCTCAGACCAGGGAGTGATGGGTACTAGAGTTCTCTCTGCCCTTTGAGTCTTGTCCCACTCTGACCAGCACCAGAGCACTACCCTGTGGTGTACCTGGAGTGTGTGTAGACTGAGTGAGCACTTGTGTGCAGTGTCAAGCTTGTTCTAGTCTGGAGACAGGTCCAAGGGGCAGTGTACATACAATGCCTGGGTCTCTAACCTGTGGAACATCCTCTTCTCCACAGACAAACTCAAGAGAGTGGCATCAAAGAATCTGTGTCTTGGGGCACACAGAGGACCCAGGATGTGCTCTACGAGGCCCGGGCACCCCTGGAGCGTGGACATTCAGCAGAGATCCCTGTGGGGCAGCGGGGAACATTGGTGAGCCCCAAGAAGGCTTCTCTGTGGAACAGAGCCCTGGTGGCCTATGGGCAGAAGTGAGGGTTTTGGAACTAGATGTGAACATGAAGACCTGGATGGGAGGGGGCTATGTACTAAGATGGGGAGGTCTATGGGGCCTGGATGGGGCTGCATAAGATGGTTCTCTGTGATTGTGACCTGGAGGCTGTTCTCCCCAGGCTGTGGATGTCCAGATGCAGAGCATAGCATTGAGAGGCCCAGATGGAGAACCCCAACCTGGGTTGGAGAGCCAGGGCCGAGCTGCCTCTATGCCTCGCCTAGCAGCAGAAACACAGGTGGATGGTTATGGAGAAGTCTGGACCAGGGGGAGGGGTGTGCATTCTGAAGGTGTGGAGGCTTGGGAGGGGGAGAAGAGCACCCCTTCTTGGAGCCTTATCCCCAGGAGCCTTGAAAGTCTGGGCACCATCATCTCTATGGGCCTGCCCAGAACCTACACGTGCTCAGTCTTTTGAGGGGACACAGTGTTCTCAAGCTTTGGACCTCCGTCCCTGCTCCGTTCAGATGTGGTAATGCCCACAGCTTCTTCCCACTCAACTCTGTCCCACAGACCTGGTCTCTTGGTTCTGGTACCCCCTTCCAGCGCTGTGTCTCCCAACAGTGTGTCCCTACTTCTCTTTCTGGGTCTCCATTCTTATACCACAGCCTTTTTAACCTGTCCAGAAGATGGTGTCACTTGCCTGTATCCATCCTACTGCTTGAGACAGAACAACTTTTCCTGTTCTATCCCTGGACCCTGTTTCCTTCTCTGGCCCCTGTGAGTCAGAGTCTTTCTGGGACTTATTTGCCTAAGGAGGAGGAGCTGGCCCAGGAAGTTGAGGTTCTGTGTATGTTCTTGGACAAGCTCCTGTTTGAGGACTCTTGAGAAGTGTCCATTCTGTATTTTTATTCTGAGTCACAGCAGGATCTACAGGGTCTTGGCCTCAGCCCTGAGTGCCCAAGGCCCACTGGCTCTAGGCTTCTCCTCTTCATTGTGTTTCTCCTTCCTGTGGCTTCTAGTTCTGGTCATGTACTGTGAACTTTGCTCTCATTCTTCCACTCCACTGCCTGTCTCTGACTTTTGCAGCGTCCCTGACCTCGCTTCACAGTCCATGTGTCTCTGCTGTTCTCTACTGTTCCCACCTGCATCCCACACCTTTTAATTTCCTCCAGGGTATCACAGGCTGATCTGGCAATGACTGACCCTCACAGGGAGGATTCCTTCCTTAGGCCCCGGATTTAGCTTTGGGAGGTAGCCTCATGGGCCAACTGGTTGTGAGGTCAAGGAAAAGCATCTCCTCCAGTGAGTGAGGCAGCTGTGGCTACATGTAGATTCACCAACCTCACCAGCATCCCCTTTCCTAGGGACCCTGGGCCTGGGGGTCTATACCAGGCCTGTTTCCTCCTGATGGGACCTGGCCCACCTCGCTGCCTCCACACCTGCCTCCCTACCACCCCATTAGCCCAGAGCTTCCCTCATCCTTCAGGCCATGTTCCCCCTTGTCCCTTGCCACAGCCTGCTCCAGATGCCAGTCCCATGAAGCGCTCCATTTCCACACTGGCCCAGCGGCCTCATGGGCCCCACCTCTGCAATGCTGCCCTGGACCGTCCACCCCCCAGCCAGGCACCACATCACCATCACCACCGCTGCCACCGCCGCAGGGACAAGAAACAGAGATCCCTGGAAAAGGGTCCCAGCCTGTCTGCTGATACAGATGGTGGTACGTGCTGAAGGATCTGGAGGACCTCATAAGGGACTGTAGCCTGAGCTGGGGCCTCTGCACAGCTATGGATACCTCTTGATATCCCTCATGGTCCCGAAAACTGGACCTAGTAGGCAGGGACCTGAGTCCCAGGTCTGGGTACTGGGCAAGACCACATGCCAGTTCCCTGCCCTTCCCTGCCCTGCTGAAGTTATTCCTGCTGCCCTCAGAAATAGGGTCTGGGGCAGAGGTTTCCTCGCTGGTGCTGGGCTTCGCTAGGCTGACCTCTTTTTCTTCCCTTGGCTAGCACCAAACAGCACCCCAGGACCTGGCACGTCCTTAGGCGAGGGGCCAACAGGCTGCCGGCGTGAGCGCAAGCAAGGGCGTGGTCGATCCCAGGAGCGGAGGCAGCCTTCCTCCTCCTCCTCAGAGAAGCAGCGCTTCTACTCCTGTGACCGCTTTGGGGGCCGTGAGCCCCCACAGCCTAAGCCCTCCATTAGCAGCCACCCCACGTCTCCGACAGCTGGGCCAGAACCAGCAGCCCACCCACAGGTAAGTGGCAGAGGCTACATGGGCTGTTGCCTCACTCCCGTCCTCAGGGCCTCCCTACCACCTCCCTCTGCCTGTGGCCTGGTGCGTTCCCTCTGTGCCCTTGCTTCTCATCCACCATCCCTGGGGTGGGGGCTCCAATCCTCAGGGATCTCTGTTGCTTGTTCCTTTGTTCTCCTTCTGTGTCCTTACTCTGGCCCCTTGTGGTCCCCTCCCTCTCTTTCCCTGCTGCTCCCCCACTGCTGATGGTGCTCTGTGCCTGATTTGTTTTTGGTTTTCATCTGTCATTCTCTTCACACAGGGTGGTGGCTCTGTCAATGGGAGCCCCTTGCTGTCAACATCTGGTGCTAGCACCCCAGGCCGAGGTGGGCGGAGACAGCTCCCACAGACCCCCCTGACACCCCGCCCCAGCATCACTTACAAGACAGCCAACTCCTCACCTGTCCACTTCGCAGGGGCTCAGAGTGGGCTCCCAGCCTTCTCCCCTGGCCGGCTTAGCCGTGGACTTTCTGAACACAATGCCTTGCTGCAGAGAGACCCCCTGAGTCAGCCCCTGGCGCCTGGCTCTCGCATTGGCTCTGACCCTTACCTGGGGCAGCGGCTGGACAGTGAGACTTCTGCCCACACCCTGCCTGAGGATACCCTCACCTTCGAGGAGGCTGTGGCCACCAACTCAGGCCGTTCCTCCAGGACTTCCTACGTGTCCTCACTGACCTCCCAGTCCCATCCCCTCCGCCGTGTGCCCAATGGCTACCACTGCACTCTGGGACTCAGCACTGGCGGCCGGGCTCGGCACAGCTATCACCACCCTGACCAAGACCACTGGTGCTAGCTGCACCGCAACCGCCCATGCACCTGACCATCGGTGTGGGCTCCAGTTGATGAGTTTTATCATCTGCACTGGGCTCTGGGCTGCGGCCCCTGGGAGGAGGGGCCTCACCTGTGGCCTCCGTGGTGGAGGCACTCCCCCTTTTACACTGGAAGGACTAATAAAGCCCTTTCTTAGAGGGTTGTGATGTGTCTATCCCCCTCGTGTGCTGCCTTCCTGGGTCTTATGCCACACATCAAATCCTAAGCAGGAGATGGCCAACTTCAGATGAACCCAGTGAGTCCAGATCCCATGTCATGGCTTCCACTATCCAGGGTGGGTGATCAGAACCTGTTCTAGGATGTCTGAATCTTGTGGGCAGCATCCTGTATCCAGATGTGTGGTATGGAGGGTGGGACATGCCTGAAAGCGTGAAAAGGACCCAGCCGTGGCCTGGTGTCCTTAGCCAGCCTCCATGATCCTGTGTCTGTTATCGCTTGTGGCACTGAACAGTAAATGTATGTAGAAACACACTATCCTTCCCGAATCACTATTGCCCCAACAGGGACCAAATCCGAAGAATGTTTGTGCTGTTGATTCTGGTTTTTGGTCACAACACCTTTCACTCTGTCATTTCAATGTACTTGATCTAGAAAAACAGAAAACAGGAAAAGTGGCTGAGGAAACATTAACATAACATCAACCCATAGGAAGGTCTCCACCTTTCATTGTGTGTTTTTGTACTTGTGTGAGAAGGTGTTCCTGTGTGGACTCTGTCTGGCCTGGGTGGTCCCCAGCAACCCTGGCACTGCTGCTTGACCAAGTGCCTGACCTCCAGCTCCTGGGCATTGTGTGTGAGGAAAGGCCTTGTGTCACACAGTCATTGACTGTGTGAAAGCTACTTAGAACAGCAGCTGGGTAGGAAGCTCATGTCCAAAGGAGCAACAGATGACATGCAGCAGCATGGCGTGGTGGTTTTGCCCATGTTCTTCCCACAAGTGAGAGGATTTAGGAAAGATGGAGAGCAGCAGAGTGCATGCTTGTGTGAGGCATTTTCAATCTGTTCTATATCTGATTCTCAGGGATGGGATGCCTGCCAAGTAGGGCATGATCTCTGTTGTATATGAGGTGACCTTTCACCAATAGCTGTAAGGAGTAAATGGCTAGTGAGAAGAGAAGATAGTGACTGGACAGTTGCATGTAGGGCCATCATGGCAGGAAGGAGGAAGTCACAGCAAATCACCAGGGAGGAGAAATGGCTCCTGAGCTGTGGCTGTGGCCTGAGTTCCTCAACCTGGGGATCAAGAAGCAGTAGTTAAACCTAACTTCACAGCCACGCTCCAAAGGGAAAGCCCATACTCAGGATGTTTGGTATGTAGAGAATGTTGGGAGACCCTCTTTTATGAAGAAGGGTGCATATAGATAAGCCCATTCATGTGTCCTTTGTGTTGAAACTTCAAATGATTTCTCTGTGGGATTGTTGGCTTCTATCCCATAATACTCCTCAAGAAGCTGTATGTGACTCATGTATATGTGTCTGGGTGTGTGTGGTGGTGTGTTGTGTGGATGTTGTCAACCATAGGGCTATGCAACAAAAGACACATTTAATAGAAATAAAACACACAAGACCACCACCTGGTCTAGAGTTTCAGCATGATTGTGACCAAACCTTTTTTTATAGAATTTCCTTATGTGAAGGCACAACACTCTGCAACTTTAATGGTAACAGAGTATTTTATTCTAATTGGGTAAAATTATGCAGGAATCTTGGTCTGTGCATGTGACTCTGTGCTCATGTTGCGAAGTAGAGGGATGTGCATTTCGATACTGTTTGTCTCTGTTCACCCCAGCCCATGTTATCTTGGGTGTCAAAATATATACATTCCATGTAGAACCACAGTTGTCTCCCAGGCATTCAAGGGTCAAGGATACTCTTCTAGACTCATACAATCTAGCTGACTTGCCTGGATTCTTTTAGGTATTGGCATTCCTGAAATTACAACAAGAAGGGAAAAGGATCTTATTTTCCTAACTTTGGGTTTTTTTCTGTACTGTCTCTTCTCAAGCTATTGTCTGTTTCCTCTCAAATCTCATAGTGAGTTGCCAAATTTGAAATGCATCAACCAGCTATCTGCATCTGGAATCTGTCAAGCAGTGGCTGTAGTATGAATAAGTTATGTGTGCATGTAAAATATATACATATATACATTATACAAGTATGTGCATGAAGTGTATATCTTCATACTTTTTGATACAATGTATTCATTTGTTAATTTTTAATTATATTTGATATAAATTGAAGGTTTGTTGTAAAACTTTATATTTAACAACAGTGTTAAAAAGAGAGAAAGAAGTCCCAACAATGCAAACCAATTGGGACCTAATTTTAAAAAAAAATCCTGTGATTGACTAGTTTGCTGCCTGACTAATATTTACAAGCCAAAATTTGGATTCTGCTATTGTTTCTACATTGACCTTTTGTATGAAGCAAAGTCCTTGGATTAAAATAAAAAATGAGAAAAAAAAAACCCCAAAAGCAAAAGCAGAACTCCCACAATGCTGCCATGAGGTATGTGGGGAGGGTGTGTGTGTGTGTCTTTTAAGTGTGCTGGGTAGGAAGATAGCCAGGACAGAGCCGAAGACGGCATAGGAGAAAGTGGTATTCTGCCTGTAGGACCTAGTTAAAAAGCAAGCATGAGATGATAGAATCAGGGAGAGCATAGCTCAAGATCTCCTGAGTACCTGGCTGAGTCCTTTAGCTCGCAGGGCTAATACCTGGACTAAATGTGCAGGATCCCCATGCCTGGTGTCTCTGGAAAGCCATGCAGGAACAGCCATACTACAAAGCCCAGAATTCTCTGGGTTCTGAAGCTTCCAGCAACCTCATCCCCCTCCCTTTGCAGTGAGGGCTGAGGAAGCAGATTCTGGACTACATTGCCCAGGACCTTCCAGGGTATGCAGGTCACCCCCATGAGGACTGAGACAGTAGAGTCCAGATCCTCTTGCCCAGAAACTCTTGGAGTCCAACATCTCATAGCCGTTCTGCCAATCCAACTTACGCCCTCAGATCAGTACTGCCAGCTTCAAGACTGTACTACCCTGAATGCTGTGGGTTGCATTAGCAATTTCCTCAGTGACAACGGCCCAGGGGAATAGCTTAGTGACATAAGTGCTTGCCTAGCAAGTGCAAGGTCCTTAGTTTTATTCCTGGCACCAAAAGATGAAGAAACATAGAATACTGGCTCACACAGTCCAGAATCCTCTGGGATTGCCCATCCCAAGAGCCTTGGCAACAAAATCTGAGTGGACAGAAGGCAAACAATAGCAGAGTACCTGGGTACCAGAGAATAGGTGGTTTTCAGACCCGCAGCTCTCAGAACAGGACCATAGGCAGATGTGCTTTTGACCTGAGGTCCCAATCACCTCTGCAGGGGCCAAGCATGGTGCTGCATTTAATGTCTCAAAGTCACTCTAAAACGGGGCTGGTCACTGACAAAGTCACCACTTCAAACACACAACTGAGTGTTTTCTTACCAGCCAACCCACCAAAGCAAGAATTAGGGTCAGTTTAGGATATTACGGTTAAAGAGTTAGAGGTTGGGCGGGATTGGAGTAAGGATACATTGAGATTTGGTTCAGGTTTGGGGCTGGAACTGGCTTTAGGGTTAGAGTTCAAATTAGAGGTTAAGGTTAGGGTTTAGAGTTGGGGTTATGGAACCACATTGGGGTACTTCATTTTTAGCGTTAGGATTAGGGTTAGGAAATAACATTTTTAGGGAATCCCTTTTTTATATACATTCTGAATTCAATTTTTTTATTTTTTACATTAAAATTTTAAAATTATGTGTAATATATGTCTTTTACTAGTAGAAATGTCTATGCTCTATTGAAATGCATGAATTCCATTGAAATGCAGAAACTCCATAGGACAATATAGGGATAAGCTTCTCTAAAGGCTTCTAACTTGGTGGCTCAATAGGTAAGAATGCAGAAGTGTAGATCTTAAGGTTGCAAGTTCAAATCTAGCATCAGGCATTAGGGTACTATATTCTTAGAGGTGGGGAGAAGGTGAAGCTCAGAGTCAGATTTGGAGTTGGCATTGATGTAGAGTTAGAGTTGATAAATGTGATAATTCCTTGAAAGTTCCTCATATTTTATCAGTTAAATACTATTCAAAGTATATTGTGGTAAATTAAAGATTTATATTGTAAAACTGTAGAAGAAAACAGTCCAAAATACAGTATATGTTGCTAACACTGCCAAAATAAAATGTTTCAGACTTGAGTTAAACAACACAAATTTATTTTCTCACAGGTCTGGAGGAGGAGTCCAACCAAAAGCTGCCTGTAGAATTTCTCTCGAGCCCTCTCTCTTTGACTTGAAGACAGCTAACTCCCAACCATGTTTCACATGGCCTTTCACATGTTCACTCTGGTGTGTCTCTTACAAGGACTCAAGTCAAGGACTGAATTAGAACTCACACACATTTGTGTTTCTCTTTTCATGGAATACAAACAATATTTGACTCACATAAAAGAGTTAGACTCATCCTCCATACCTCCGGGGATATGAAAATCTGGCTGAAGTGCCTCAGATATTCATTTGCACTCTGTGTAATTCCCAGGCTAGTCTGGCCAGTGATCCCTACAGAGTTTTCTGGAAAAGTTCTCAGGAGGCATGACAGACACAAGGTTACCTGTGGAGCCACTGTGCTCCCTTCTGGCATCCATAGCTGATAGTGTCTGTCACTCAGAAGGCAGTCTGGAAATACCATTAGGGGGTTTCCCATGATGGAACCCACCTACACTAGACAGTATTGCCCTTAAGGTGCATCCTTAGTGCCCTTGACAACCTTTTCCAGAAGACACCTGGAAACATGGAACTGCAGCCAGTAGCAGGCCCAACCAGGAAAGATGTTTATGCTGGAGGTCCCTTCTCCAAACTTCATGTGTATCCTTGAATCCACGGACCTTATTCTTCTGTAGGGGAAAATGATCCAAAAAAGAAAGAAAAGAAAAAGAAATTGACATTTAGATAAGTATTTTGAATAAAATAAATAGTTATTGGAATAGAAGATGGCATCGAGATGGGGCACAGATTATTGGCTTATCAGAAAGGGCTGCCCAAAGGAAAAGGTATGTGTACTGGCCCAGCCAAGAGCTGATGATCAGGGAGTAAAAAGGGCAACATTCACACATGGCCTCCAAGCTGCCCACGACCTTAAGAGATCACAGTGCTATTTAATTCTAGTAATGTCAAGTGTTTTCATTTGTCAGCCTACATATATTACCAGCTGTTTGATGTGTCTTCAGTAATTTTGGCTGCGACCTCACTACAGAATTCCATATGAATTTGGGATGTTAAACCCTAACTTGTTTCAGTTACAAATTTTTCCTACAGTGACTTCAATTAGCAACTGTGCCATGGAGAATAAAGTCTAAAAAATACATTGGACATTTATGTATGGGGCATTTCTGTACATTATATTTTAGTCAAGGCACAGACAAATTTTCACAATCATTTAGGAACTGCATGTTGTTTATGTACAATCTGAAGTATCTGAGAACATCTAGGTGACCACATTCTTAATAACTGTCCAAGTGATTTGACATTGTGTGACTGCATCTCCATTCTTTATGTAGTTGGTGTTGAGAATCCTTGTAAGGATACTTTCTTCCTCACTCCTAGCATACAGAAAATTATATTCAAATGAAATGACATTAAATGCTGTTGCATATAAGATTACATTATTTAAAATATGCCATAAAATTATAATCTCAATGCAATTCCAATAAAAGTCAGGTTTATTTTCTGAAAGCAAAGAAATTCATTTATAAACTCCATGTCTTAATCTATTTTCTGTCACTATAATTGTATACCAAGGCTCAATACTACAGTCATGGGAGAAGGGGGGTGACTCTGTGACCAGGAATCACAGAGGATTCACCAGGAGGATTCTGTGACTAATGGGATGGGAGGCACACTAAGGCTTTTGAGTATTATATACACAGATCCTTCTGGGTGCCCTAGTCCTGGTGGGAGGAGTGTCACACGGGATTTTAGGTAGTGCAGTGGGGGACAAAAGATTTATGTGTACTGCAGTGGGAGTGGCCACACACGATTTTGGTTCCTGAAGTGAAGGAGCTTACAGAAGATTCTCAGTACCACAGTTCCATTATAACATGGAGGATTCTGGGACACTTAGTGGGCAGTGATGTGGAGTGAGAAGCCCGGATGAGCTGGACTCCTGCTGCCCCTCTGCCTCCATGAAAAGGTGGCTAAAAAGACCCAGTACAGCTTGGTGGAGAGGCTGGCGGGCGGGAGCACTGGGTTTCAGTGCTGTGTGTGTGTGTGTGTGTGTGTGTGTGTCTGTGAGTTCAGAGAGATGACTGCAGTACTCTGGAGTGCACAGCGGGCTGGGCTTAGACCTCGGCTGCAGTGCTTCAATCTCTTGTGTCCCTGGGTGTGTGGGAGACAAGGCCAGGACATCTGATGTCCAGGACCCTAAAGGATGCTGGAACATGCTTGATGCTCATTGTGGGTTTGCTGTCACTGGTAGTAATGAGACAGATGGCCGAGTAGTGACTGAAGGGCCCAGGAGGTGGTGGAGGTGCTTGTGGGGAATCTCCAGATGGTAAGTGGAGGCATCTGTGTTCCTGAAGTTCTGGCCCTGAACAGAATCAGGCATCTCTGGAACTCTAGTGCTCAGCCCAGGTGGGTGAGGTGGATGTGCCAGCATTCCTACAACTTCATGTTGGTTTGATTCAAAATATCTTAAAATCATAATGTATTAAAGCATCTGAGTGTATTTTTCTCTGAAATTGTGTAAATCAAATGTACTATTCCTTTCAAATTTTTATTGGTGGTGCTTTCGGTTCTGAAGCCCCCTCATTGCATTATGTAGATGTCTATCCTATATTGTTTCCCATCTCTTCTCCACAAATAAACCATCTTTAGTCATACTAAAATTTGTATTGATAAGGTAAAATGAATTTAGATGTGCAGTCCTTGGGAAACAAACTGCAATCTAAATTTGTATTTAAAGTGCCTGCCTGGCAAGCCTGAGGTCATGAGTTCAATACCCGATACCAAAAAAGAAATTGTGTTTAAAGTACCTGAAGTCCCAGTTTACTCAGCTAGTCTCCCTCAGCTAATTACAGCAGGTGTGCTTGTCAGATGCAGCATGTAATGGAAGCTGTGTTTGAATCTCATTTCAGCTCACAAATGCTGCCACATTTTGTGGCACACTGGCTCTTCAAACCGGCTCTGACCAAGTGCTGTCAGGTAGTGGAATCCTTTTTTGTCCTTGGTTAAACAAACCACTAAATTTAGCTTTAACAAGTTGATAAATTTAGATTGTTTTAAATTGGATTTTCTTTGTAATATTATGGGACAGCGTGAGGAGCTACTGCAGAGTGCTTCAAAGCTGAGGTCACCTGAAAATGTGACCTGTTTGGTGCAGGTGCACAGTGAGAGCCATTCATGTAACCACGATTTAGCACAGGCAACTACACATGTGCTACATGATTAAGTCAGTATACA